ATCTGTCTGTCCCCACCAGCTTCAGATAAAACAGTTCTATCCTCCTTGAGCACATCAATTTGCTAGTCAGTGGTTCATGTATCAAAGAGCATTCTGTGAAAATATCAATATCATTGGTTAATATAAATGAAATTAATTTTTAAAGCTGGGCTAAAGGTTGACATCTGAAAAATTGCATTACTTTGCAGAAGAGAAATTTCTGTCTTCCAGTGAAATTTCAGGTCATAAGGGCAAGTAATTTTCACAATCTTCAATGGGAACCAGTGAAATATGAACTTCATTGTCACCTAGCCCCAAAGCGATAAGATAAAATGAGCTGATACATCATTTGCTGTGGTTTTATCATCTCCTTCAGTAATTGGAAGAGAAAACATAAGAGTCCTTTACTACCCCCCTCCCCAATCCCTTCACCACCCACACCCAGGCATAAGCCATTTTGCTCTGATCAATACAAAGGTCACCGAGTGTTTATTTATTTATTTAATTTTTTTATGCTGGGTAAAACTGTCTGGTGGAACATTAAAGTAATGAATATGTTTAATTGAGTTTGTCACCCATGAAAATGCTGAACAGGATTGTGTAACAGACTGTGCAAGCTCACACAGGGCACTGGTTGGGAGGCTGCTGCTCATTGCCTGTGGATTTCAGTGTAATAAATTTGTAAATATCTGAGATTTAGAACATATTTGTTGTCTCTCTGAGAAATCTAAAACAAACTGATAAGCAGCTCTGATTTATTGAAGAGCACATTGATATTTAAGATTATTAACAGTCTGATCTAATTCCCTGTTAATTCAGTTGTACTTAGCTGTATTTGAACAAAGAGCAGAGTAAGACCCTTTCACTGTGAATCCTGCAGCCAGGAACTAAATAGTACCTGGACAGTAGAATCCAAGGATCCTCGGTTGCAAGGCTGAGGTTAAGGTAGAAATTCAGGTTTCTTGTGAACCAAGTTTCAGACTTTGTAGCTCCTGAGTGCTGTAATTTTGCCTTCCTGAGTAAAAATGACCCCAAATGACCTGGAATACTGCTAGAATGCATTTATAAACTTTATCTCTCAACTGTAATCAAATTAGAATGTAAATTAAATGTTCTATATTTTTATTCAGTGGGGTTTTTTTTTTTCTTCTTTGTCTTATACTATAACTTGTTTAAAATTACACAAATGTGCATCAGCCTTTTAAATAAGCTATTTAGCTTTTATTTTACTCATGGCAGTTAAGTTGGCTGACATTAAAGTAATATAATTATTCAATTACTGTTTCAGTTCTATAATCCATTTTCAGACTTAATTACTTCTAGCCTATTCACATTTTCAAGATCAATAGTACTTTTCTGTAAAATAAAATAAAATAAGTTGATTGGCTTGCTTAACAGGTAAAGCAAAATGTTCATTTAGTTTTCAGTAAAATATTACTTTTCTAATTCAGGAGGCAGCTGTAGTGATGGGGGAGTTTTTTTAACTATTGCATTAAGTCTTTGACAGTAGACATTGTTTATGATAAACATTCAAGGAGGGTTTTGAAGAAAAGGTAGAATGGGGCAATTGTATTAAAAACTGTAAAATGGCAGAATAGCTTCCAAGTAAATGAGCATTTTAATGTTGGGAAATTAGCTGATATGTGACTGTAAATTGTGAGCACTTAATTCTGTATGACCTTAATTTGTGGTCAGCACTTTGCTACCTGAGTTTTCATGTAACTCTGATTTCAGAATCTCCTCCAAGTAGAATTTGAAGCTGGCTGTTCTTTACTCACTAATTTCTTAGGGAGTTTCCTGCAGCTGTGCAGTGTTGGGGCCATCAGCATGAATACAGCAACTGAGTACTGGTTCAGACCTTCATTTCTAATACTTGAAGTAAAAGGAGGGACTTTATGCAAAGGGAGAAGTAATTTTGTATTTTTAGTAATGTTGTCATGACTCCTGTTCATCTGGTATTGCCAAAGTCTAATTACAGAACAGTTTGTCTGATGAGATTTTGGGAACCGTACAACTTTACAATTGCCTCATTTGTTTATGTATTTGTTTAAATGAAATGGTAAATAGTATAAATTGTATTTTCTCCTGTAGGGTGTTGTGTATTTTGAAACAAATGAAATGTGCAGAGATTGAACTTCAATCTGATGTGTTAAATCAACTGAAATTCTGTAAATACTTTCTCACGTGGGGAAGGCAGTACTATTTCTGCAGATTAAATTAGATTGTAATTAGTCTCTGATTAGTCTCTGCTCCACAACTTGTTCCAAAAGTGGCAGCGACAAAAGGCAGAAATGAGTTGGTTTTAACTTCAGAATGTTATACAGTAGTATGAAGAAGATAGTTGTTCTTAAATTCTGAGGTGGACCTCTGTATTGTGTGGCTTACGGGTGAAAACAGGCAAATGCAAAAATAGTTTTTGAAAGTTGTAATTCTGATGTCAAAAGTGATCTAAAAAAACCCAACAAAACAAACAAAAACCTCAAACTTTTGTTTGCCAGAATAAAAATGCTGAATTAAATTTGAAGAATGAGCCAGTTTCTACAACTAGGAGTTTCTAATAATACTTTCTATGGAATAAAAGATTGCACTGGATTTTCATAAGGAACACTTAGCAATACACATGAAAGAAATGTGTTTGTACTCTGGACCTTTCATCTGCTCTAGGTGGAGTGATGAGTGGGAGCAGGGGCAGTGCTGCAGTTTCCATGGCAACTGGTTCACTGGCAGGCTAGACCTCTGTCTAGGGTGCTGTCAGTGCGCCCGGAGTTTCAGACAGCCCAGTGTCCCAAAGAAGGTCTGCTCCCACCTAATCCAGTTTTAATTGAACTCCAGAGACTTTGAAGTGAGGCCGCAAAGCAGGCAGACCCTGCTCCAGCCCGGAATGAAGGCCTTGCTCAGCACAGCCTCAGCTGCTTGTGTCTCCTGATCAGTTTTGTTAATGAGTGCTTCAGATAATGGTTGCAGAGGTGGCTGCTGGTGTTTCTGTGGTGCAGTCCCAGTTCCTGCTGTAAATCCTCTCTCACTGAATTCGGTAACTTCACCGTGGCTCTACGAGGTGCACAATGCAAGCCACCTCTGCTCTTTTCAAGTTGGTGCTTTTCCTTCCAGTTTTGAGGAGGTTGGAAACAGCAAGGTCTGGGGCTTGTGCAGGATTCCCACTCTCACCGAAAATGCTCATTTCACAGGGTAAAAGTAATAATTATTTACTGTGCTGGTTTTGCTCACAGCATCCACACAGAGTTTGAATTTGCCATGCGCAGACCGATGGGGTGAAACAGGCTGTTGTGTTTCATTGTTACAGAAAACCAGAGGTTACCACATTGCTGTCTGTGTTAAAAAAAATCAATCATTGCAATTAGAAGCTCCAGTTTCAAGATCATATGGTGGATGAATAGCAGCAAAAAGTACTAAGAGATTTCTGTGCATGAGCACTGCAACTTTGTCTCCTTTGTAAGCTCTTTTGATGTTGTATTCTTAGAGGATATTTATATGTGTGTGACAAAAGCCAACTGCAGTGGTTCTGAACAGCACCACAGAATTATACAAATCTGCCAATTAGTGTGGATGGGCTATGGGTGTGCTGTGAGAAGTGTCAGTGTGGCCCAAGTCTGTTAGTTCCCCAGTTCCAGAAATGTTTAGCAACCACTGACAATCTCTGGTCCTTTCATCACTTTTCTAGAATTTTGTACTGGAATAATTATGTAGTTTTTCCTTCTCTTTCTGTGTGTACGTGTGTGTGTTTGCTGGGAGAGAAGTTGACTGTGGCACTTGTATTGAGGTGAAGATGAGGGATTAAGTAAAAGGAAAGAAGGTGTGGGGGATGATATGCTTTGTATGTTCTGATCTGTGCTATCAGCTTTTGGTTTGCCAGTCTTGTTTGCTTATAATTCACAAAGCTGGTGCAATATTTTGTGCTGTATTGTGTAGTGCTTTTATAATGCATCTGCTCCCTGTGCTACAAAAATGCAGGTTTTATTTGTCAATATATGCTACATGCGAGGCAAAACCCTCCTTTGTTAAAAACCTGTAAACAAATTATTGGTTTCATTAATAGTCTTTGTTATATTAAGGACTTGAATTTCACTTGTTTTATTTTTATACACAATATATTGCTCAAGTGAAACTGTGGTAAGAGTGATGTTAATAAGGATTGCATCTGAGTCTCCTTTTCTGTGATGGATTTTTTCTATTAAGTGTTTGGTAAAATTGACAAATCTCAGATTTTCCTTCTCCTATAATTTGTTAATCTGAGGTAGAGAAGTGTCCAGTCTCTCTGTCCCTTAACACTTACATGATTAAGCTTTGAAATGAAAAGGAGAAAGTGAAGCAACAAAGAAACAAAGTGGCTGAGGACTGAAAACGGGATTAGTTTGAATTGTGAAGGCAGACTAAGCATCTGTGTCTGTCAGATGGGATGACAGGAATTGTAACAAGTTACTTTGACAATCGCTTACTCCATAGAGAGATTATGCTGAGTTCATTTGCAGGTTTGTGTTTAACCTCAGCTGACAAAATGATACTTAACCTCTTATACAGCAAACCTTTTACAGTTCCATAATAAGTGAATGCTGCCTTAATGATAAACCTAAGGAACATTTTATTTTCTTTAAAGACATTTTTTTCTTGCTTATTTGTTACAGGCCTGTTATTACAATGCTGAAGGGAGTGCAGATAGATGTAGTGCTACTAGATATACATCTCAGAATAGGGTTTTATGCTTTGCTGAAGTGCTGAACATTTAATAATGTTTTTGAAGCTCTGAAACTGTTATGAAAAATAGATAAGTGTCTTTAAAGGAAAAAAAATGTTTAAAATATTTGACATGAGTAATTGAATTCAGGAGTACAAAAATGCATTAGAGATTCATAAGATGATTTGAAGTTCAGCGCATTTTACTTTTGTTGCAGGTTTTGGAGGTAATTGGTAGAATCCATGTTTCTGGGTCAAAGAGTTTCTCTTTTGCAAGGTATTACCTGTCCAGCTAACATATTTAAAACATTCTCTCTGTCTCTTTCTCCTAGATTCTGGCATATACAGAAGGACTCCACGGAAAATGGCTCTTCTCAGAGATTCGATCTATCTTTTCCCGACGTTACCTCTTGCAAAATACAGCACTGGAGATATTCATGGCAAATAGAGGTACAGTGAATTTAAAGAAATGACAAGTGTGGATGTGGGGACACGTGCATTCTGTTTGGATGTTTAGTCACGTCTGTTTTGACATGGATTTGCGTAGATAGAGGAAGGGCTTGGATTAAATGTATCAGTATTTAAGTCAGTATTTTTTTATAATTTAGTTTCTCCTTCCAGGTTTTTTTTTAATGATAAATTATGATGAAACATGAAAACTGTGAATTATCAATGCCTCACTTTCATTTATATCCACGTGTTTATTTGGCATTCTCTGAGGAGTCCTGCTCAAGACAGTCCTACCTCTGATCTGTTACGCATAAAGGATTTTTTTATCCCCTTGGAGGGTAGATAATTGTTAGTTGTACACACCAAGAACAATGGAATGAAATAATTTCACTACTGGATTAGACCAGTGACTTCCCTGCCTGTCATGCTTTATTTAAAATGTAGAGCATTTTTCTGGTAATTATAATGTCCAACAGAATATTAATCATATTCATAAACACTTGTACTCTCTGAAGTCATAAATGGCCACTAGTGATACCATAATTAGATTGTTATTTAGATTTTTAGGTTGCTGTTTCATAAGTGTCATTCACATGTTTCAGACGAAATAGGAAGACAGTATTTTGAAGACTACTACTAGAAAATATCTAGAAAGTAAATTAGTAAATGTATGAACCAGTTAATACATATGTTTTTTAATTAGTTCTAGACAGTCAATCTGTGCATATAAGTTTAATTCCTATTCATAAAGGAAAACAAATGTAGACCTTGTAAGATGTGCAACAGTGACAACTTCTGTTGAAATTCCTATTATAAAAGTGTGATATATTAAAGGAGTTCTGGAGATTAAAAAAACCAAACAAATCTACAATGATCTGAAGGAAACTTGTCTGATCTGTTGAACACTTGAGCTTAGGGTTGCATTGTGTTGGTTGAGCAAGTCTAAAATGTATAAAATCATGCTATATTTCAACTCTCATACTCACAGTGGGTGTCATGTTCAACTTCCCTGATCAAGCAACAGTGAAGAAAGTGGTTAACTGTCTACCTCGGGTTGGTATTGGTACCATCTTTGGACTACCCCAGACCAGGTATTTCATAATTTGAGTTTATTTTATCTGTCAGTTCTAAGAGTTTTATTGGGTTTTTTTAATCAAACAAGCTTACACAGTATGAAGCATTTACACCTGCTGGTTTATATAACATGCAGCAGGAAACCCTTAGGGAGTATCTTTTTTGTTGTTACTTTCAATTTTTTATTTTTAATAGATTCCTGTACATAGAAATGGGATTAAAATAGTTCAGGATGTTTTCTGATATTATTTGTTGCTTTTTTATGGAGTCCAGAATAAAAAAATCTCTTGGATTGCAATTATAGCCACTGCATAAGAATATCAGGATTTCTATTTACAGAAACAAATTCTGTGTGAAAAATTTTAAATGTACGTTGAAGACACATTTGCTCAAGATTTCACATCCATTTGTATGAATTAATTTGTTTGCAACATAATGGGGCTTGTTAAAAAAAAGTTACAGTTTCCTTGAATTGTTTACCAATACCTGTAAAGCTTTGTTAGCTAAGACTACTTATAGATTTCTTTTCTTCCTCTTTAAGTGATGTGGGTTTGGTATTTGCAGATGTTTTTGTTATGAACAAAACAGTCTTGGGAATTTTATGATAAACTCTTCTCTGTTTAATTTATCACTCCAAGGACTGACTCTACAGTCTTCTTTCATAAACATTAGGAAATCTGGCATCAAATTCTGAAAGTTTGAGTTATTTATGACTAACTCTTCAACACTGCCCAGAATTTAAATCTCAAGAGGATGGACTTCATAATGAAATTCTATCATCTTATCATTGTTTTCCTTTGTTCTTGAGGGATTTAAAAAACCTCTCCTTAAAGATAACTTTATTCTTATATGAAATCTAAAAGTACATGAAATCTAAAAGTAATTTTCTTATTTAATGATATTCCAGCTCTCTAAATCTCCAGTAACATATTTCTGTAATACATCAAGCCATCATGGAGCAGCTGAATTTGCACAGCTGTAAAGGTTTCTGTTGGAAATTTTTCAAATCTTGACATATCCAGCTGTCAGATGCTTTACTTCTTTTATTCTTATTAGATTATAAAACTTTAAAAATGAACTTCAAGTATCCAAGTGGCATTTTGATCTCAAGAGAAATCTAGCATAGACCTGGTAGAAAGAATGTGTACTACTGCCACTAAAAATCAGGTATGTAAAAAAGGAAGACCCACACAGGTTTCTCATTATTTTTTTCCCAATTTTCTTTTGTTTTCAGACGCATTTCTTTGGCTAGTCCACGACAGATCTTCAAAGCTTCCAATATGACTCAGCGGTGGCAACACCGAGAGATTTCCAACTTTGAATACTTGATGTTTCTAAACACTATAGCAGGTATTGCTAATTACTGTACATCCAAATTACTGTAATTACACAGAAAAGGAATTAATCATGACACAGTCTCAACAGTCATAGGGCACAACTAGATTTTGCTCTTTTAATGAGTAATTTTTTCAATGTATGATTTTGTCCTGAAGAACTTCACAAAAATCATCTTAAATTTCTTTTATTTGTAATTGTATTTATAGTTATGTAAGACTAGAGAGGTATTAATAATGCTGTACTGAGCTGCACTTAAAATCAGAATATCATGACTGTTTTGGGGGGATAGGAACTATATAGATTGTCAATTATTTAGGAAAGCCTCAAACATAGGAACTTATTGATCTTCAGTATTCTAAGTTGTAATTTTCATAAGTACTATCCTCCCTAAATATCATAGATGCAATAAGTTCTCTGCAGGGCTGGGAAATCTCAGCCAGGGAGCAGGAGATTTATTTACTCAATAAATACCACTGTTACAGGATGCATGGTTGGTCTCAAAAAAAGGTGCAATGCCTGGATTCCCAGTGCTGCTATTCTAAGACACCCTTAATCCAAACCCAACCCTAATTTGTGTCCACTTATTTTTGTCCTAACCACTCATTCTGTAAATACTAAGCTGTATTTTGTTTAACCCATCTTACCCCATCAGCTTCTAACCAGCTGGGCTTCAGTTTACTAAGTGGAGGCTGACTGTTGGGTCTCATGCCATCCCTTTTATTTTCCAACTTATTCTGTCCTCTGAGCAATTTAGAAAATTTCTCAATTTTCAGCTGTTTTCTGTGGTATTGACAGTGGTGAAAGGTCTGTTAATTCCCTTTCAGGCTTGGCTCTTGCTAACACGATTGATATAACAAATGCCTGTGCTTGCACTAATTGCATTTTATACAAATGGTCAGTTTTGGTGTTTTCTGTAATCAGTCATCAAGTCAGAGGTGCCAAGATGCTGGCAGATTTTTAAAAGTAAGGGTCGATCTGCTTGCCTCGTTACTGCTCCAGCTGAATGAGGCACATCATGACACTGTTTCCTGTGGCTCTAATGAATGACCCTTTTCAGCTTTAATATATTACTGAAATAATAAATTGAATTCTTATCTGCTTGGTGTTTGAGGTTAAAAGAAGCAAAAAGATAACATTATGGAAAGAGGGAAAGTTGAGTTGCCCGTGATAGGGAGTTAAAAGAAAGATAGTTATCCCACTGTCATGTAAGTAACCTTAATCCTCAATAAGGGAGAATGTGCAATACAGCCAAGTGATTAGGGAAAGACTGACTCTGCCATTTCAAAATTTTGCAAACCAGCATGGAAAAATAGTTTGGTTACTCCATTAACAATGGAGTAGTATTAGAAAACCAGAAGAAGAAAAGCTTTGGTGGAAGTTTAGAAAATGTTTTCTGACAACCTTACAGGCTGGATTGTAAAATAATATTCCTGGGGGAGAGGTTAAAGCCTCTCTTTGGAGACTTCTAAGAGCAAGCTGAACAAAATCTCAAGAACACGCTGATTGAAGATGATTTGAATAAATGAGCCTCTGCAACAATATAACAAAAAGGGACAGGATGAGTGTAAAAACTGCATTTTTAACTTAGAAACCCGGCTTTGGGGTGTGTATGTCTGCATGGTATATGTTTATTCTGATTGAATATTTTGGTTTTACTGGAAGAAGTGTATTATTTCCATCTTAGATACATGCAGATGTACACATGAACCTGTATCCAGACCAAATTTTCTGTCATGGTAAATGTTGGCATATCCATAGATGGACAATGGGCAAGGATGAATTTCCCTCTAGATTTCCTTTCTCAAGATAGAACAGTTATTAATTGAAAAATTCTTTAGTCTAAATGTCTGAGCTACTTCATTCTTCTTTCACATATTGTATTTAAGACAGTACGTAAAAAGAATGCTTTATTTTTTAGTATCAACAAAAATCATTGACCCTCCATTTTTTCAAGTGTTTCACCTTAAGGAGACAGAAGACAAGATGATGTAAACAAAGAAAGGATAAATGCTTAGGAAATGAGTGAAATTAACTGTGAAACTTACTGTATGCAAAAGAGTTTACAATTAAAGTGAAATGGGCTGAAATGTTTTAGATTAAATACTAGCATATTGACAACTTTTCCATTATCATTTCAATAAAGAAATTATAATATTGAAATGATAACAGATCTGATATAAACTGCAGTTCTTTCAAACAGCTTATAAAGTTCTATTGTTGTATCTTTAGAGACACATTTTGGTTAAATATAACTCCTTATTCACAGTGGGGGATTTTTTGTCGTTTGTCAGGTCGAACTTACAATGATTTGAATCAGTACCCTGTCTTCCCTTGGGTTATCACCAACTATGAGTCAGAGGAATTGGACCTCACACTTCCTAGCAACTTCAGGGATTTGTCAAAGGTATTTGTCATCAAATATACCTTTATATTTTTATCATAGCAGTTTGCAGTCTTGTAAGCATTTTCTGCTATGTTTAATACATTAATGTTACCTGCACAACCATTAACAGTGTTTAATTTCTTCATGTGTGTACTGATTGTAGGAATCAGATTGTGTAAAAATCTGATTGTATCAACCTAATAATTGTTGTTGGAAGGTGTTCCTAGTTGGAACATAGACATAGACATTTCATTTCAAATTTTAATGAAGTTAGAAATGCTGAGTTTGTTAAAGATTAAAAATTAGCCTTTTTCTGTTTGTTTTTTCTGATGAGAATTGTGCTTTTTGTAGTAGCAAACCTTGCAATACTATTTTATTTTAGGTACTTTTAAATCACTGCCCATATTCCAATGAGTAGAAACTTTATTTTATTACTTCCTCTATGTAGCCTTTCTGGTATGCTGGATTAATTCAGCTGTCCTTTTTCAGACAGACATTGGCAGGTTTGAACAACTTTTCCAAACAATTCCTTTCTGGCAGAGTAGCCTTGTGGGTTTTTTCAGCAGTCCCCCCACCACTTGCAGATTCGATATACAGCCTGTTTATGGAATGTGATTATTCTCTTGCAATACTCTTCCAGAAAGGACTATTTCATTTTTCAAAGTAGGAGTATCTCTTATTTTCTCTGCAAAGACTGGGTGCACTGATCAGCAAGCAGGATCTTTTTCTAAAAGGTGACTTTTATGGGAAATGATTGGCATGGAGCAATATATTAGCAATATAGCTAATTAGTAGAAAAGGTAAGGAGAGTATTTTAATGATAGCTTTTTTGTTTTTTAAAAGTCTCATATAAATCGGTAATTTGCTACTAAAAACATCCCTGTGGACATATGGAAGCTTTAGAAGTTTCTGCTTTCAGTTTGCAGTTGATTAAACTGCACCTAAACATAGGTGTGTTAAAAAGATTAATTACTGATTTAGTATTTTAATCTTAAAAAACGTACTGTATAGTCAGCAAATATATAGACAAATAAACACACACATATATATTCACATATATCTATTTGTATACATATTTGAATATATCTGTGTATATATATATTTGAAGACTGTACCATGCCTTTTGAATGTGTATATGTACATATTTAAAGCCAAAGCAGAGATTCTGAAGTACTATTGTTATAACTTTTCCTAATAGTGTTATTTAATGTGAATAAGTCATTAACTCTAAGGTCTCAGAGAATGTCTGCCTGAGACAGATCCACGTTCATGTGTAAACCTGCACATATTTTATATTTTAACGAATCTTTAAAAGGTAAACATTTATTTATTTTAAAATATTTTTTTCTTGTGGAATTCAATAAATGCTATTTAATAATCCCCTGGCCAGAAAGTATCTGAAGGTAGTTTACAGCCAGAAGTATCTATGACCAAGCTAGAGTACTCTTGTGAATTGCACTTAAATCAGCATTGAAAACTTAAAAGTAACATCAGCTCTGGGTACCTTGAGTTAGTACATAAATTAAACGTACTAATCATTAAAAAATTCCTTGGTGATGACATGGTTTTTGCAACCTCATTTTCCATTAACTTATTTCTAAGTGATGCTTCTACATAGATCATGTAATTGCTGAAATAACTGGAGGCATGGAAAAGGATTCTCTAGGTGCTGTACTTCTGAGGGGTCTGCTTTTAATTGTATTTTCATTTGTAAAAAGTCAGTTCAATCAGCACTGTAGTCCTGGTCCTTCTTCCTGCCTGAAACAGAACATTTTTCCCTCATTTTAAGTCAGGTACTGCACTTACCTCCATTTGAGAGATTGGATAGTAAACCTGCTCTATCTCTATGTGGTTTTTTATTAACATTGACTGGTTATATGGATTTCTCTGTTCATGAAAGCAGTCTTTGAGGAGGATTGCTAAGTGTGCTTTCAGTTCTGAGGGAATCTTTCCATTGCTGGTGCTGAGGGAGGACATTTAGTTTGAGATTGCATCTCTGGCTATATTCAACCTTCTCAAGCATTTGCTGGAAATCTGGGACCTTTAAACAGCACATAGTTATTGCATATATACTATATATATATACATACACATGAGAGTCTTTATGTCATACCTGTTTCAAATAAAGCAGTTCAAGTTTTTGTTACTGTTTGGGCATTTCTAGCAGTATCAGGTCCAAGTAGCTTAAACGTTAAGCTTTGTGTCAGAGGATGAATTTGTGACAAGTATCTGGAAGACCTTGCTAATATTCTGCTATGAAAATTTGTGGATGTCATGTATATTGTGATATTTTCATTGTAGCACTATTATCTTGGGGGGGTAATGCTTCCAAATATGTGCTAATTATGTATTGTAGCATGTCTATGCTTTTGCACTGCTAAAGCTTGTAAAAATATTTAAAGATATTTCATTTAAATATCTACATGGTTTTGTCAGTCATTTCTTCTTTCCTTCTGGATGCCCAGAAAGTCATCACAGTTTACTGCTCCCATTGTGTAAAAAAATGGAAACTTTGATTTTGATCTGGCAGAAAGGAAGTCAAGTCAATATCTTTACTTTTTTTTTGGTGCCTAAGACAATGAGAATTTCCTTTTTAAAAATTATTTAGAAATTGTAACTGAAGTGTCAAATCTAAGTAACAGTTTTTTTAATGTGTCAGCTAGGAGTCCACAGTTAGTACAGATTTAAAGAGCTGCAGAGTGTAGGTTAAACTAACACTTTATTTAAGCAGCTTCTTAGGGCACTGTTTTGAACATCAGTCACACAATGATAAACCAAAGCAACTGAAATGGATTGTGGTTAATATTGCTGTCAGCCTGACGAAGGCTCCTGACAAATGCCAGGAGTGCACTGCCAGTCTCTTACCCTGCTTTGACTCAAGTGTTTGTTCTTTAAGAGGTGACTATGGTTTGGAATGAGTACTACATACTGTATTTATAGAGGTATATATTTTATTTACACAACAGGCACAGTTTCCCACCAGAACGTGGGGCTTTTTCTGCATTACTTATGTTATTCATAAGAACATTCTTTTCCTTATTCAGTCAAAGCAATAAATTGCATTGTATTTCGGAACTTGGGTAAAGAAAGAAAACAGAAGTAAGAATACGTGGCAAATACTGAGATATGGAAGCATGATTTTATACTTTCAAAAGTTTGTTACAAGATCTTGCTATATGCAAGGAGCTGTTCATAATTTTCCTCTCATAAGGCACAACATTTGTGTAAGATCATAAACTGACACTACTGGGAGAAGAAATTTATGCTCTCTTAAATCTTCTTTTCTCTGCACTATAGCTACATGTGTACATAATAATATTTTTATTCACATCTTTATCTATTCTATGCAATATTTGCTAAATCATCATCAATTTTATAGGGGCTGTTATGTATTGACTTCTTTTCCAGTCAAGTGTACAAAAGCGACAAATAGATCTCACCTTCAGTGAAGTGAGGTGTTTAATTGGTATGTGGGAGCCACTAATAAAAACACACCTTGACAGAAGAGAAGCAATAGATTTTTTTACTATGAAAAATTAAAGAAGCTTTGTTGTTCTGATGTCAACTTTGCTGTTGGGTGTTCTTCAGCATGCCAGCCTGAATTTTGTTGCAGGGTGCCCATTTCAGGAGCACAAATGCACTGCATGTAAAACTTGTGCTCCATGTTTTCCCTCGTGTGGAAGCAGATTGGGATAGACATTGAATTTGCTTAGTTATTTTCCTCCTGGCAAAGAGATAGAAACTAAAAATGTTTTGATGTGAATCTATTACCATTTTGCAAATTTTTAAAAGAAATCTTTTTGTCTAGAGAGGCATTAAAATCTGTACAGATATGCTGTGAATCAAGTGCTTTCATGTAGGAAATGTAAATTACATTTTATTCAGCTCGTGCTGAATACACACAAAAGGAGTGCACTTAAAACTGATGAACTCACCAGGACTCATTGTCCTTCTAAGCATGAAGTGTGTTCAAAAATTGGACATTAAAGGAGGATGAGAGAAACAGTGTGCGAAATAACAAGAGTGGGTGCAATGGCTGTGCCTTATTTTGACAGGCAATTACATCTGGAATTTAGGTGCTAAAATTTTTGAGGCTTGGCACTGCTGGGCTCAGCACCTGTCCTGGCTGCCTTGTAATTGGTGTTTCAGGTAGGAAATTTGTCATCTGTGTCTGTGACAAAAGATGCCACTTAGTTAAAAAGTATTCCAAAGTCAGACAGGATAACCTCAGAAGGAAGGTACAAATATTTTTTTCTTTCAGGATGCTTCATGTGAATCCCTGCTTGAAACAGGACATTACCGGAAATAAAATACTTCAAAATTTGTATTGAGATCCATGGTACTTATGAGAAGGTCCATTAAATTTTCTAGAATTTTGGGTATCTCAAGAAAAGTGTTAGAGGTATTAAGACCAGCCTGAATGATACCAGGGATATCAGTGATATCTGGAAAGAACACGTTTTTCATTATTCATTTTATATTCTGTTATGGATTTTGTTATTGTTAGTATAAAGTATATTTACCAGATCCTCTCCATTTTCATGCTTTTCTTGTGAAACACACATTGCTTCTTGGAGGAGAGGAGCGCCTCATCCTCCCTAAAATGTAGGTTGACAGACCTAAACATTTGACATAACCATGTTGGGAGAAAGTTTTAGAAGAAGGGAGGCATACAAACAAGAAGTATTCTGAGCAGAATCTTTCTTATGTTGGTTCCATTTAGAAAACCATAAAAGAGAAAATTCTAGCTGGAAGAATGAAGACTCTTTTCCTGATCTGGTTTATTTGCAAACACAAAGAGCTGAAAAGGGACAGTGGGAAGAGAATTGTAAAGATTGTCTTTCAAGGAGGCTGTGTAAGATTATTAAGTTCACATCCCATGACAGTGCTAGAACTTTAGGACTATTATGGGCTCTCTTTGTTTAGATTGGATAATCTGTTTTTTAATTAGAAACAGTTCAAACTAAAGTGTTGAGTAGTCTACTAGATTCCCTTGAAAGTTGTGACTTAATGGTATAATT